AAAAATCAGAATATTCCAGAAAATAAATCCAGCCCCACACCAGGTAGATGCCTGCCTCAGAATAGTGCCAAATCCTGACACATTTACAATTTTACAGTATACATTTCACCAACGAAACTTGACATGTATACTGTAAAGGTCTGAACTAATGGAATTAGCCAATCAGAACAGTTTCCATGAAAACAGTGATAGATTAGGGATAGGTTTACAACGTTCTTTCTGCGAAGAAAGGAGTTGTAGAGTGGGAAATGACTCATTGCCTGCAAGGCCACATTTATCACTGTCGAAATTGACTTAAAGTTTTCAATGGGTGTTTTTGCGAAACGGTGTGCAGTGACCTCGGCTGTAATTTTGAATTTGTCATGCCAATGCCTCCTCCGTCCAAATAGCTGCTATATTGGTAAATTACTGAACTAATATGACGAGGAAGTAGAATATCCCCCGGGATTCGCTTAATATGAGTCGGACACCAAAAACAATAAGCATATTGCCGGTAGGATGAATCTGCTTATCAAATATTGTACTACTCACATCACCATGGACTGGTGAGGTGAGCACAGAGTACAAATAAAAGAGTACAAATAGGAGAGGACATTTCTCGAGGCCGATCAGCCTAGGCTTACATAATTGTAACATTTTTCCCAGATGCTGAACTTCACAATATCAAGCGGGTATCAATTCTTGCTCAGAACTTTCTTAATAAATTCAATTTCTGAATACAATTTTGTTTCGGAGCATATCTCCAAGGACCAACGGACTAAGGTCTTAAAAAGGTGATTTCTTACTGTCTTGAACAAAAGGAGTCTCACTGAGTATATAAGGCTATGGCGGTTCGTTTCCGGTGCACCGATGTGAGAAATCCTGAATCCGATTTGCGTACCAGGATCTCCAGAAAAGAATGAACCTAATTGTTATCCATTTCACACGTAACATACAGAGCCGTGTGCAATGTGTTTAGTGCTTGATGGAATACCCAGTCTCAACCTCATTATCGGACACACTGAAAATGTCATCAGCATATCTAACATAATTAGATCTTTTTTCTTAATCGAAAGCAAAAACAATAAATATATTTGCTAACGTCGGCTCCAATGGACTTCTCATAGCTATCCCATCTATTTTATTATACATGATCTTATGAAAGCTAAATTCCACACACATGATGTTGATCTCCAAGAAATCCATGAAAACGGCTTCAGAAATAAGAGAAGGAGACAAATATCTACGGTAAAACAAATCATTAGTGCAAATATCAATGAGCGATTGCTGGAATGTAATACGATTGTATCAAGGACTCATTTACTTTTGCCAACTATATGAAGAAGTGTCCTTTCAATGATGAGGATAAGTTTATGTGCGTGTTTGACACCAGACATTCATTCATCTATGTACCATGTTAATATTAGACTAAATACGAAACATTGGATTAAGTTAGAAACTAAATATTTGTGGAACAAAAGAATTATACTTTTATCAATCGGCTATGAACCTACTGGTTTACTTCTGTGTAAGTGAAGGCTCACGTTGTTGGGTTCATATATGTGTGTGTTTGTGTGTGCGTGCGTAAGTATACGTAGTTTTGGAAGTATTTATGTATATCTATATCTGCAGGTGTTTCTGTGCGTTTGTATATATGTGCGCATAGATAGATAGATAGATAGATAGATAGATATTTTTAATCGTTTCACGCCAAACAAGGTGATAATGCCACTAAGATGCAAGTGATTACTGGAAGTGAAAGAGAATGAGTAGACTTTCGAAGGACGCAGAAACTCAACCCCAAAAAGGAAACAGGGAAGAAAATCTCCTACGCTTGTTCAAAAGACCGGAGAGAAGTGTGAACCGGACGATGGGCGAACCTATATAATCGTATTAAATCCGTTTGGGAGTTTGAAATCCACACAAGGGCAGGAAATTATCAGAAATATGTTAACAAATAATATCCATCTTCACCGATTAGACCTTGAATTTTATCGAGTCTGGATGAAATTCAACGTTTAATCGATGATGACGAATATTATTTGTTAATTCTATTTGTTAATTAATTATTTCTTTATTATACTGTACTAAATTTAATACAACCAATCTCGTTGCCCAAAACAACTCTTCTCCGCCAACTAGCATCTTTCAAAAGGCCAACATTATGTATCAATCTAAATGTCCTTTAGAAGATTGTATCTTTGATAAAAAATTTATATATATATATGTAGGAGTTCCACTGAGTGCCAGTGACTAAAATGTCTACCCCACTCCATGTTCTTGCGAGTGAAGGGGATTGTTAACAACCCATTAGGACGAAAAATAAGATCTAGCAAAGGTGGAAGAATTCTAGATGTGTCAGTGGCCAGCTAACCAGAGACGGTGTTTTCATAAACCTCCGTGAAAAAGGCAATGGGAAGCCAATCCACTATGAATATATATATATAGATAGATAGATAGATAGATAGATAGATAGATAGATAGATAGATAGATAGATAGATATAATGTATTATAATGTATTTTAGGCAGTATATTTTCATTCAAGCATATTTCGTTAAATAACTTAAACGTATTATGTCTATTTATTTTAATATATATATATATGTATGCGTGAGTGCGTGTGTGTATCTATTAATGTGTTATTTTGATTGCTGGGATATACCGCTTCCTTAGAATTATTTTTAGAAGTCATGAAAAATAAAGTAAATATACTTTGTTTGGCTTTTACAACCGAAGAAAAAAACATTATCCTAGAAATACACACATAAATTAGTGCGCGTTATATAATGAAACAGGGAAACTGTATCGGCGAAGTGACTAATAATTCTGTGATTTTCCCTCAAAGTAGTTAGCAAATTGTCACTATTTTATTCATATATTATCGATTTATGAATGATCGATTTGTAAAAATGAATAAAGTTATTAAAACTCATCGTTATATATTTTTATATTTAATTTGAAGATTTGAGGTAAGTTTGTTCCAGAAGATATTTTCTATGATTTTCTATGGAATTTTCTAGATTTTCTATGGAATTTTCTAGATTTTCTATGGAATTTTCTAGATTTTCTATGGAATCCTACAGTTTCAAAATCTTTTGTTGTATAGTTTAAGTCTTGAAACGGTTAAAAGAAATAGTTCTGGAAACCTTTATCTCTTTGGCATGCATTTGAAAATCCTTTGAGCTTTGTCTGCAACGAACGTCTTCGGATTGGATTTCCAAAGAACCGCTGGTAGTTTGACAGTTTACCTTGGAGAGAATCAGAAATGAAATCTTGTCTACCAAAAACGTCTAAACATTTGAAAGGAAGGAAAATGTTTGTTTGTTTGTTTTTTTTACGTTCAACTGGTAAAGTTGAAAAAAAAAAAAATATTTGTCCAATGGAATACAGGCATCATAAGAATTAATTTGCACCGAATAAAAAAACGTTTTTAAAAAATTTTTCGTTTTCACGAAATGTTTCTCATCTTTAATTTTTCTTTTATTTACGGAATTTAATTATTTATGGAATTTAATTATTTACGGAATTTAATTATTCCCAAAAAGGCAACAGTTTTTGAAAAGTTCCGTCACTTGCAAAACCTATAAATTCACTAATTAGTTTTCATATCGTATTTTGTTTGCCACTTTCATTTACGAACGGCTTCAGGAGAAAAAACATTTTTCTATTTTGGCTACAGAAAAAATAGTTATAATTTTGAAGCAAAAAAAAAAATCCGTTTTGTGTGAAAAGAACTTTTTTCTATACGTGGATTTAAATTTAAATGCAAACTGAATCTTCTGTCTTCCTGAATCATGTTCTTTTATTGTCCTTTCTCGTTCACTTTCATTCCCAGTAACTCCTGGCATCTTAGTGGCATTATTGTCTTGCTTGGAGTGAAATTAAAAAACAAAAAAAAACGAAACCTTCTGTCTTTGGTAGCCATCCATTTACACAAAATTGTTAGGCAAGTTACTCAATGTTTCCCTCTGATTCTCTTCATATGTCCTGTGGGTGTCAAATTCTCCAAGCCTTCTTTCCTCATTATTCGTCCTAGAAATTTTAATAGTCTCTTTCTGATTCTAAATATAAGTGTCCTTTTTGTTTCCATTTTCTTTAAAATTCCTCTTTGCTCACATATTCTGTCTATGATACTCACAGAATTCAGCATCCTTTTATGGAACTACATCTCAGCTGCCTCAAGTAAACATTTTCCTTTATGAGAAAATAGTTCCAGCATTCACTGCTCTATAGTAGAAATGATATTACACAGCAGTTAAGTTCTCTTTTCGCTGTCTTGAACGAAATTCTCCTGTAAATATTCTGCCTAATCTTTTCTGCAAAGAAAGGATGAAGGGTCGATTTTCATCGGATTAGTTAAGAGAATTAAAACAAAGAAGTTACAACAGACTTTTACCCAGATGCCGAGAGGAAGGCGACGTGAAATAAACTCAATGGCTTGAAAATTCCAACTCAATTACTGTTTGGGATAAATTTCAATCTGCGCCTGTTTGGTCGCATTACCCGTCCTTTTTCAATATTATCTATTTCTAACTGACCCAGATCTCGAAAGTCTATTATAATTGTATTGTTCAAGTGAGCTAACGAAGTATTAAAAACTATTATAATCTATCTATCTCAATCAATTCATATCTATCACAGTCTATTCATATCTATCTCAAACTCTTCATATCTATCTATCTTAGTTTTTTATTTGTATTTATTCATTCATTAGGAGTAGATACCGCTTCACTTGATTTGGTTGGTTGGTTGATTTTGCTTAATGTCATATCAACACTTCTATGGGTTATTTAATGCCGAAATCTAAATATTTTGGACGCAGTTTTATTTTTGAGATAATAATGGTTTAGTGATACAAGTCTTGCTAATTAACCCATAGCTAGGGGAGAGGAGATGGATTCATACCATTTTAAAGTGTATTTTGCTCATAATAAATATAACGAACTCGATTGAAATGGAAACTTGGCTCTCGGCTGAATATTTCTGAGCCATTATCCATTAGACAAACCGCAAATCCAAGCTTACAACACCCGGTATTCCTAAGTGGTCACCCATCTCGGTACTGATCATGCTCGACGTTGCTTAACTTCGGTAATCGTAGGAGAAACGTTATTTTAACATGATGTGGCCATCATTGAGTCTCAATAATAATTCAAGGCAAGGTGCTTCATTGAGAATGCAACTATGTATATGTATTTCTGTGAATTTAAAACATTTCAACTGTTCGTTTTTACTGCTTATGTAGCGTTCTATATTTCAAAGTTCAAAGTTTACGTGTTCTTTTTGTGGTGGGGGTCAATGTAAAGGGAGTAAATTTTTATTTTTGTTTATGCGTATATAATAATTTTTTTTTTTCATAAGCATTTAAGGACTTTGTTGCTTTACTCATAGTTGACTTTATTTATTTTGGGATTTAACTCTCTTATATAAAGGGCTTCAAGGATTTTTAGTTTTTGTTTGTTATTGTTTTTATGTAATATAGATGTATGTTCAACTAATATCCGTCTAAACTGTGAGTGTGGACTTGAGTGTTCCTTTAAGTGCTGATGTATTGAGCTATGTTCAGCCAAATGAAATGTAAGTCTTTTTGTTAGCACTGTCCTAGTAAAGCCAACGTACGTATTAACATTTTTATCAGAGATACAATCTCCTAAAGGACATTTAAATTGATATATAATGTTGGCCCTTTGAAAGATGCTAGTTGGCGGAGAAGAGTTGTTTTGGACAACTAGGTTGGTTGTATTAAATTTAGTACAGTATATGATTAATTTTATTTTTTTACTTGGATTAGTGGGAAATATATTAGTGTCATGAGTTTTTTAGAATGTTTTCCTCCTGTTAGTAGTTGGAATGTATTTGATTACGATATAGTAATTTGATATGTTTAGAGTTATTTGATGATGTATTGATTTTTATTTATGTTAATATTCCTATAGCTTGTCTAATTTTTCATCAACAATGCAATTAGGAAGTCAATATAAATGAGGGGTTGTTTAATATTATTTTAATTCAGCGTAGAAAAATTTTTTTTATTGAAGAATTTGATTTGGGCACGGTTTATTAAGTTTCGTATAATAGATATGTCTAAATTATTTAACCAAACGTGTTTGAATGAAAATATGTTGCCTATATATAGACAACACACACACACACACACACACACACACACACACACACACACACATATATATATATATATATATATAATGTGGATAGGAATTTGTCGTTTATACAATTTATTTAAAGACCAACAAAAGATATTTGTTCAGAATTTTTTTATTATTCTACATTTAGGTTCAAATTTAGACATAAATTGTCCAATGTCTGACTAATTTCAGCTATCGTCAGTAATGTGCAAAACTTTGGTGATGCCTTGGTTGTATGCTCCTAAGACTCAAGTAAGGGGGGTTACCTATAGGTCCTAATATTGAGAAGTGTGAAAAGGAAGACATTTTAAGTATGTAAAACGGATGAAACATAAAATAAACACTTTTATTCCAATTAAATATAAACTAAATTTATGGATGCCCACCCAATACGAATGCCTGGGACCGTAGCACCCTTTGCACCCCCTTCTGCACCTCCTTCTGCACTCCCTTCTGCACGCTACTGGATATCGTTAGCCATTATAGAAGAGTTTTGGTTTATTGTGCTGTGTTATCTGTACATACTTTTTCAAGTATGTCGTATGTTTTCGTTCGTTCACCTGATAATACGCATCATCTGTTTTTTTTATATTATTATTGAAATGTACTTATTATTTTTGTTCATTAATTTAGTATCATTTTACTAGATTATTCTAGAGATTCGCGATATCTAAGGTTTAAAATGAATTTTTAAAAATGAAAAATATTTCTTGAAGTTTTAATTTTAATTTCAAGCTAATAGATTAAATTTAATATTTACAATATGTAAACTACTTTTCAGTATTTGAAAACTAATTTAAATTGACTTGAAGTAGGTTTTTGTGTAAAAAAAAAAAATCTTATTTCAGCGCCATTCAGCACCCTCGTTCTTTTTTTAAAAAAATCTTCCAAAAATGAAATATACTTTTCTGGAATCTTATTTGAGGAATATTAGCTGATTTTAAATATAATTAATCTGATTTGAAAGAAATATTATTTACTTTAAGTTTAAAATATCGCAAAAATTCATTTTTTGTGGAAGTTGTTCATTTAAGGTGTTAACAGATTGATGACAGATGGATATTTATCTAAATGATGGCCAAATCTGTAAAAAAAAAACTGAAGCATATAATGTGAGCGCCTTTTTTGTATAAATTATAAGTACATAGTAATCTTTAAAATTTGAGAAAATATTCTCTGTAATCTAATTTTAGTAATGTTTACTTTAAATTTACTATAGTCATCGCTGTAATTTTCTGACAAGGACGTATGAACATCCGTATCTACAAACATCGGAACGTTTATACACATACGAAAAAAATTACAATTATTTTTCAAATACTGGTGTTGACGAATTGTACTATGCTTTTCTATTCATGATTAGTAAATATAGTTTTTTTTATTTAATAATAATATAAACTAATGTTTTCAAAGTAATGCAAAAATTTTAAAATAATAAAAATGAAAATAATTTTAGTAAAAATTCTTTATTCATCGAAAAAGTGTTTTTCTTAAGACAATAGTGTCCTTGATATATCTTATTTATAAATGGAACTAACAGCTTTTCTAATTAAGTAATATCTTAGTTTTATTGCTTTTTTATGATTCAATTTAGATTTTCAGTAAATAGTGTTTCTGTTTCACAAAAGAAATTGATAATGTTAAATTCTCCAAGTTCTGTTTTCACTAATATAAACATTATATAGGGTCAAAATCTAATTTCTCTAAATTTCATAAAATTAAATAAGTGGGGGAACGGGAACAGATGTAAAAAAAAAATGTTACCAAGATTTTTTTTAATTTCATTCATTTATGTATAAGTCCTGTGAGTTTCATTAAAATTCGACAATTATTTGATTTTTGATATTATACTATATTATACTGATGGTGGATTGTATGTTTTTGATACAAATTTGCCTATTAGTTGTACTCTTTTTTTACACTTATATATATATATATATATATATATATATATCAAATATGTGGTGCAGTTCAATTTATATTACAATGAATCATTCATACAAAAAGTAGATTAGTAAAGTTAATGATATAAAATGGTGAAAACTTTTTGCAAACAAAATTTTAAAGTTGCATTAACCTACGAATATATATATATTACAGACTTGTTGAAACTGTTAAATATAGCCGTCTCTTCTACTCCAATAGCTTCATATTTTGCACCTCTCGCCTGTGGAACTCCCTTCCCTTATCCTGTTTCCCTGATAGCTATAATCTCCAACTATTCAAATGTAATGCCAATCGACATCTCCAGTTGCCTTGATCTATCCACTATCCTTCTCCTCATCCTTTCCTCAATCACTCCTATCTGCTCTCGCTCCAAATCCTCTGTAACCCCTTGTGTGCTAGTGGCTTCCCGCCTTGCTTGGGGTGAAATGCTTAAAAAAAAACACGAAAAAACTTGATATTTTCATCATAGCATGTGACCAATTGATTTGTATTTTCCATGATTTCAAAGCGAGATAATAAATATGAAAATGTGTTGTTGTTTTTTTTGTTTTAATTTCCTGTTCTTTTAAAGATGTCCTATGAAAGTTTTCATGTTAATTTTTTATCAGACAAATGGATTTTTGTGTTTTCTTTTGTCAAATCAAAACTAGCAACTCATTTTTTTTATCTGATTTTGACAATGGCATATGCCAAGAAAATGAATATCTTGTCTCGAACCAATCATGAACAAAACAGAACTTCTTTCAGAATATTTAATCTTTAAAAATCTTGTTCACCAAACATTTTACACGGTCTTTTCATAAGCTTTAAACATATGGGGATATTGCAGAGGATCAAATCAAAAGAAAGTGGGAATTAGGAAGATCCTGTTGCGCCAAGTGGGTTTGACAACCTACCTAAAATCCACATTTGAAATAAATTAATATCAGTATTAACTAAGCGTAGCGTAGAGTCTGGTACAGGCCCCATGATTTCGGTATATAGTAATTTTCCAAGCGTAGCTTAAATGTGGCACAAGACCGAAAGTAGGGAGTCACCCAGTGAGGATCGAACTCACTACTCAGTCGTAATTGTTTTAACGAGAGAAGATTGCTAACCATTAACACCACCTCATATATATTATGACTCAAACTTAATGTGCAGTAGTCAGGAACTGCAAAACAAGTTATTTAACCATTATGCAATCACAGAAACATCTACAGAGGAATTTACTGATTTTTAGAGTCGAGCTTTGTTCATCTCTCATTAAAAGAATTACGAATATTTTTTCAAAGGGGTCTTTTCATAGGTTTTCGGCATCTTGATATTGTGCTAAGCTAAGCAGAGTATTATGAGACAGAAAAATTTTGTTAGGAAGAAAGAAAAGACTATTGAACTGTTACGTGATATATGTCCTCCTGTGTGGCAGTGAATGCTGGACAATCTCCTTAAAGATGAAGAAGAGACTTGAAGAAAAAGAAGTGTGGTTCTACAGAAGGACTCTGAGGATGCTATGGGTCGAACATGTGAACAAGGACGAAGTTTTAGAAATAATGGAAATTAAAAGGAAACTTATACTTAAATTTACAAACGAAAAGAATTAAATTTCGCAATTTCAGTTTTCTAAATGGTTTAATAAGCAGTAAATAAATCAGTGTTACTGGTGAAAATTTATTTCTTTCTCTATTGGATCATGTTACTTAAGTCATGGCAATTATGTGTGAAAAATAAACTCACCCAAATGTCCGCCAAGGCTTCGGCGGCACAAATTTTTGATGACGTCTGCATAGTTGCTCCTCGATCTCACCAATATGCCTTATTATCTCATCCTTCAGCTGTTGAATTGTTGTTGGCTTGTTGGCATAGACCTTATTTTTGAGATGACCCCAAAAGAAGAAATCTAAAGGCGTCAAGTCGCACGATCGTGGTGGCTAATTGACTTCACTGTTTCGAGAGATGATGCGACCGGTGAACTTCTCATTGCATTTCTCTTTGAACGTCTATTTTCGTAATAGGCTTCGATAACTTTTTACACGTTGTTTGATTGTTAATCTTTCC